CTACGATTTAGGATATTAGCTAAATGAATAGATAATAAGGACCTAAAACAACTATGGGCAAAATAAACCAGCGTGCTCCTAGGTAATATTTCATTTTTGAATATATTGACAACTTTTTATTTAATATTTTATTATACTATTTATATAAGTTGTCGACCAATTGTATATCCAGCTACAAGACAGTGAGAAAATGAAATGAGAAAAAAATAGGCAGATTACGAAGGAAGAAATATGAAAACATAAGAAAGGTAATGATAAATACTAAACGAGTTAAAGACATGCTGAAAAAATTTTAGGCAAACAAACATTAAATTAAAAGAACGAAATTGTACGATCATATTTTAAAAAAACTTGAAAATTATCAAAAAATTTGACTTTCCAATTTACAACCATTGAATCTTTTATGAAGTAGTTATTAACTATATGCAACAAGTAACTTATAAACACTTTTTGATAATGTTTTTTTTTCTGTTTAAGCCCCCCCCCCCCCCCCTCAGAAAAGCCAATTTTGGTCAAATTTATCGATTTTGTGATTTATAACTTATTAGATACAGCTAAGTGTTTATTCTCGAATGTACTATAGTTGATTGATTTTATCATGGGATTTAAGGATACTACATGGGTTTTTCCGAACCCCCATATTGAAAAAAATAAGGTTTTTAAAAACTTATTTTTCATTTTTCTCAAAATCAATTTTTTCGAGCAAAACGTTTACGCGGACAAGGTTTTCTTCATAATAACTCAATATATAAGTAATGAATTTTTTTTAATGCATAGTGGACAGGTAGGGCTAGATCCTCCCAGGATCCGATTTTTGAATTCCTCTTTTGGTGAAATAAAAACCTTAGATATTTTATTTTTAGTAGCAATTTTTTGGGCATGATTTCTTGAATTTTATGAAAAAAGGTTTTTAAAAAACAAACAAAGAGAAATTCAAAAATCGGGCCCTGGGAGGATCTAGCCCTAAGGGTACTCTACAACTTGAAAACCAGCCGGGCTTGGTAGCTCGTATCCTTATTGCGAAATCCTTGCCCGCGTACACGGCACTTTTGACCAATAAATTGACTATAACTCATTAGTTTATTGGAGATTTGGGGAGATATTTTAACCATAATCTCTCCTAGCCTAGACTAACATTCTCTGAAATTTTGGTTGAAATCGGATGAAAAATAACAAAGTTGGTTTCTGAGGGGGGGGGGGGCCTTAAATCGATAGTGTGATAAATTCGCTCTGCTTATAATGATCATATTACGATTGTGAGAGTCAATGTATGCTATTCAATACTGTCAGTGCTTTGAACATAATTTTGATTTAGGAAAAACTAAAAAACTACATTGATTAGAATATTGGCAAACGCCATCATTTTATGTCAATGTTCCGATGCTTGTTTAAATGTAGAGATGGAGGTCAATAATACGTAGACGAGAAGGCATAAAACTTCCACTTTACAAAGTTACATGTGCTATTTTCTTTGAAAATACAGGCCACTTCCATAGCTGTTGTAGAACAAAAATTTAGCTGATAAATTTTAAATTATCGTATAACATTGCTTGAATGATTACTTTACTATGATATAAATTATTAGTAGAATGTATGTCAATGATCAGACACTAGAGCTGACTTACGGCGTAACGAAAACTGAACATTCCTATACTAGAAGACAACTAAGATTTCGAGATTCTATGTATGTATGTATGAAGAAGAAAAGACAATATTTTACATCTAGTTTATGTTACTATTTTCTATGAATTCAGTATCATCGATAGGTTACATAAGCGTCAATGATACGAAGTTCATGTGACACGAAAGTTTTATTTTTCATGCAACCATCTACACCAAAGTTAATAACTGACAGAGTTGGGAAATCAATTCCTCTGTCACTCATAAATTTTATAAACTATGATTATCTACTAGCTGATAATTAAATGTTCTATAGTTACACTATGGTATGAGATAAAAATTGACTTGTGTATAATCAGCTCTTTCATTCACAAAGTTTTTCCTTCATAAGTTCTAGTATAGATTGCGTTATTGTTAAATCTTGTTCAAATATTAGTACTTTGTACTATACGGTTGTTTCACAAATTTTCAAATGATGCAATTAGAAAGTTTTCTGAATGTGACACTCATATATTTGTTTTAGCTAAACGCTTCACTTTCCGATTTTTACTTATTGTCATTCGAAACTTTATTCACAATCTTAATCTATTCAAAACAACTTCTCAAAATCCAAATGTATTACGCAAACAACGTATTACAACTTATCTATTTCTCTTATGTACCGTAGTCAGCATTGCTATATACAGTTTCTATCTTATTCTCAGTACTCATACAAAGACTATCATGGTAAATAACCCATCTTCAGACGACTATAGACATCTCTGGACAATGTATTCCGATAATGTTAACTGTCCGTGCTCCCAAATTACTGTTCCATACTCGAGTTTTATTCAAATTGTGCCAACATTTCATCAATTATGTTCCAGTATGTTTATTTCTCCAGAATGGTTCAACAATTTATTGAGAATAGAACTTCTTGATACAATATATTATCAAAATAGTTTTAAAGAGTTGATCGGAGCATATTATTTCAAAACTCTTTCCGTATTTTGTTCAATAGCGAATAAAACTATGTTAGATGCTTATAAATTGTTTTATGCCAATGTATTAGTCAATGACCGTATTCAGTCAGAAAATATCTTTAACATTGAAATGAAAGATCTGGTTGATAAGTTCACCGACTCGACACGTTCTGAATTTTATCGTACTTTATCAATAACGCGAACTCTGATAAATGCGAATGCATTTCTTAGCAAAATGAGGATAGGATTACAATTGTTTCTAATAGACGGCATCGGAATATTTATAACACCATTATTTTTATCGTCTGCTAGCGGGCATATTGGTCATACTTGCTCTTGCTTATTGCAAAGTTTTGATTGCTATGACTATGCATTTATGTTGTACCCTACCAGCTCACCTAGCGATAAAGAATTCACAGCTATACAAAGTAAATGTTTGATAACGGAAACAGTACTCACATCATCATTGAAGTGTTGGTTCAGTAATTCTTGTTTGACTGTCGTACACAATTATTATGTTATCATGGGTGTTGATAATCTTATCGATATAAATCCCCTTGATATAAATAATTCAAGTAAATTCATGATTAATGACACAATGGAAGTATTGATGAATGCTCTCTTACTTGAAAATCAAACAGTCAACATTTCTTATGATCAATATTACAATAAATGCTCTCCTTTATTTTGTACCTATGATATTCAACAACGATTCGACTTGATATTTTTGATAACCAGTATTGCAGCTATGCATGCAATTTTAAGCAAAATTCTTCGATGGATTTTGCCAATACTGGTTCAGTTAATATTTATTACTTGGAAACGATTTCGACCACTAGATCTTTCTACTAATCAATCAACATCCATAATTCAAAGCACTCACTGTAATAGTACGTAACTGAATATACTTTATTTTTAAGATGGCGTATAAATATGTTATACATTTCAAGTCATTAGTAACATTATAATCCTTAATATTGTTTCAAAACTCGTATTCAAAATAGAAGCAGTTTATACGCGGACTATAGAGTCTCCGTTTCTTTAGAAAAATCGAATAATAGTTACAGCACTATCTGACAAAGAATATTTCATTCAAAAGGACAGTTGCCTTTGTGATGCAATCATGGTTGTTTCTCTGAATTTCCGAAAAAAACTCTATGAACAGAGCAGGAATTTGACAAAGATATTGGCGTTGTAGAAGAAATAACTAAAAAGAAATTGAAAGTTCTTAATAAGTTATGATGCTGACAAAGATGCAAGAACATTTTGCTAAATGAGTAACGCTCCACACTCTAAAAATTGAAGTCTTTCTGGGGTATCGAAAAGCATCCTTAGAAATATTCTACATCGCTAGAATGTCATGCGAGTTTGCACTAAAAATATCACATGAAGCATGGTAGGATACCAGAACTTAAAATTATAAAAGAAAAAGTATAGTAATACGTATACAATCATTCATATGCGGCAATAACTCTAAATGAATCACATTTTTATGGACAAATATAGTAAAATTCTTCAAAAACTGCAACATTCCTACATCAATTATCAGTTACTTTTAATATCTTCTTCATGAGTAAACATACGAAATTGATCTTGGTCAATAAAATTAATAATTTTACTTAGTTGAAATTTAATGGAAATATAGAAGATATCATGTGAATTGTTGGATGAATTCTAAGAATTCTATGAAAATATTCATACAATGAGACTCACTTTTAGCTGTCTTCAATTTTAGACCAAACGGCTTCGTACATTAGTCGAATTCGAGAATATATAGTTACATTCACTCTCTTTGAACCAGACTCTAACATAAATTCTGTTCAGAGACAAGAAATTATGTCGACACGAATCTATCTCATTTTATTGGTTGGTTTCACGATTCTTTTATTCTTCTATGTTGGACTAGTTGAACGATCATCGACTATTATAGTTCCAACTCCTTCTCTATCAACTTATACAAATCTACAACATATTTACTCTGATACTCTACGATGCCCTTGTTCAAACATATCCATATCATGCAAAGAATTTACTATTTCTCTCAATGTTACATCTCACCCCATTTGTACCAGCAATATAATACAGATTTGGTTCCAATATTTCGAGATATATAACACAGTATACATATGGTGGCTTCAGCAAATCGATTTTCGGCAATGGGGTGCAGTATTTTTTAATTTCCTTAATGTGCTTTGTGCTCAAGCAAACTTGACAGTGATTAACTCTATTGAACAATATTACTCGCATTTCTTTTTGTCTGTTGAAGTCATGCCTGATGTTCTATTTTTCAAAAACATTGACACTGAATTCAGATCGTTACAACAATCAATATCGAGCGAATGGCTCCATCTATTACAAATGTTTCGTGATTTTTCTCAAGGTAACGGTTTAATTTCAATTTTGGGAACTAACGTAGAAATGGAACTTGAAGAAACATCTGCTAATGGTCAAGTTCTTATCCTCCCAAAAACGTACAATAATGGAACTTGTTCATGTGCTACTTCAAGTAAATGCATGGAACCAGCAGGTTTCTACAATCGAAGTCTCCACAAATTATATACTATTAGCGATATTTTCCTAGGCTGCTTCTTACTTGAATCGATTTTCCATTCGTCTCTTTCTTGTTTCTTTTCAAATTCTTGCATAATAGATCTTATGAATGCAACTACTCTTGGAAATCCAGGTTCAATCGGTATGCCATACATAGCTGATATTTCTCCATTGCAGTTTTCCTCATCTGTTTCAAATTTTGCCATTAATGATACAATTGAAACTATCGCCAATCAAGTATTAATTGACTTTTGGTCAAATGAAACGTCCTATAAGCAATATTACACTGCGTGTGCACCAATATCCTGCAGTTACCGTAAGCAACAACATTTGAATCTTGTTTACGCACTGACAATGTTCTTAAATATATTTAGTGGACTTGCAGTAGTACTTAAATATATAGTTCCATTTTTAGTTAGAATGGCATATAAGTTACTTCGTCATTTCAAATCATCACGAGTATCATCGAGTTATTAATCCGTAGTACCCAAACAGACACATTTTTCAAACATGATATAACACAATACAAAAATCATTGATTTTCAAATATTTAATAAAGACTAAGACAAAAATCAACTGATATAAATACTATTGTTTATTTTAAATATTATTTACTTCACTATTTTGAATAAATTAATAAGTATTGGTCAAGTAATCAGCATGAATGAAAGTTATTTAAAATACTTAGTCCAAATTCTCATCCATACATAGGAATACATGACTTGACACGTGCAAGTCAATACCCACGAATCTTTGATTTTTCATATGACACCCTGTTCAGTTGAGTCAATAAAAATATCAAAATAATGACATGATTATAAGTTAATAACAAAGAAAAACTATATGCAAAGTTTTTTTTCAAAATAAAGTGAATAATTCGTTGATATATGAACCCCGGAAAAATAGAAAAAAAAAGAACTATTAAATCACAGTTGACTAAACTGTCATTTCGTTTTGTGCTGATAACAGCTTCATTTACCATGTGTTACTTTTCTTTCTCCAAGCATCTGTAAGTGTACAGGTAAGTATGCTTTGATGTTAGTCGTGATTAATCAAAATACACAATGCTTCAATGTGCGCTATTTTATCCGTATCCTAACATTTTACATCCAACTCTTTTTAGTACAGTTCGTGGCAATGTACTTGTCTTAAATAATCGAATTCAATGTATGTAACAAGATGATTTTACCTATCAGGAAATGTTTGCATTTCTTCCTTTACTTGGTCATCCAAATCCAAAGCAAGTTTGTAGCACAATATTTTGTTTCCCATTCAATCTTATCTTTTTGTTTTATCTTTCGGTTGTAATAATTGATGGAGGTGATGACTGTGTTCTCGGGGAAATTGATCAGGTAGTCATAAATGTACTTTCGAACATAAAATGTTTCTGATAAAGATTTATAGAATGTAACTGATGCCAGCAAGAAATATTTTCTCGAAATGTCCAAAGCTATTTTTTCACCAAAAGTGACAATTCATGTTGATGATGAATTTGAATATTTAAAACATAATAAAAATGAATTCTATATTATCATTATAGATTCTTTTGATTCAGAAGGTAACTCTTGATAATTTAACCATGCTAGTATTCTATTGTTGTTATGTCCGGCTGAGTCTTTGTTTTACAAAGTCGTATTATGAAATGTTGAAGTAAGCATTTAAACCATCACATTGTGTGATGATTTATCAAGTTGTTATTTACTTAAAAAAATGGATTCTTTTTCAAAATGCATATGTACCCATATGAAATAGTAGAAGATATGTTTGTTGTGATATACGTATATCCATTAGTCGCTCATGCATATGTATCTACACCTACTTATTCAAGCGAAACTATAGGCTTTATTACCCTAGTCTCAATCCTGTTCATTCCTTGAGAAACCCTGAAAGGATCTGTCAGGATCCTGAATCTCAAGGATCCTGCTAAGTTTTATTCAGGATCCTGTCTCGAATCCTAGAAATTCCTGTTTCCAGGATTTGTCGAGGTGAAACAAGATCCTGTTTAGGATTTTTTCAAGTTCCTGCTCAGATATTTTTCTGAGTCGTNTAAATACTGATATTGCTAATCTATATTAATCGATGTCATTGTTTCGACTATTAAAACTAAGATGAGATAAGTAACGAATGCAGTTGGCCTCAATTTGATTTTTAAAATCTATAATTGTCTTTTAATGAATCAAATTTATTACTGAAATAATCAGATCCAACATAGTAAAGGAAGATTCATTATAGTAAAAGTTCAGTTTATATAAAATATGGATTCCATATATTACATGGTGATCTTACTTGTAACTCGGAGCGTATGCCGATATATGCGTCACGACTCAGTCCTTCTCATTTCCTCTTTTTTATTTTACTTTTCGTCTCTTTTCCCCCTGTCTGACTTCTCTCTCTTTGTCTCTGCATCACATATTAACTTCAGTTGAATCTGAAACAGATACACTCGGGACATGCAAAGTAGCTGATAAGCATCATTCCTAAGAATGGCAAAAGCCACTCGATCCAGTTTCTCATTACACCGAGCACGTACAAGGTTTGAGTGACTAGAGACAGATAAGCTTTCTTTTTGAACAACAATCATTATTTCTGGAAGGCGTTATTCTTCTATTTTTTCCTTTCCCCGCGGTGCTTTCGTCTTTCTCTACCGCTAGGTAAATATAAGGTTTCAACTTGCTACAAAAAAGTTATTTTCATTTTCAACAACGATTATTATTTCAGGAAGGCGGTTTTCCACTAATTTTTTTCCTTTTACTGCCACTTTTTCTTTTGCTTTACTACGCTAAGCACCTACAAGGTTTGAGTTGCTAGAGAGAAACTTATTTTCTTTGTCAAGAACCAATTCTATTTCTCGAAAGCACTTTTCTACTAATTTTTTTCTTCTTTGTATGTTCATGTTTACGCTTCGGTAAGCACCTGTATGGTTTCAGTTGTTACAGACAAACTCATGTTCTTTTTGAAGAGGCATTATTATTTGTTGAAGACACTCTTTCTCGATTTTTTTCCTTTGACTGCAACTTTTTCTTTTCCCTTGCTACGCTAAGCACCTAAAAGGTCTGAGTTGCTAAAGAAAAACTTATTTTCTTTCTCAATAACCAATATTATTTGTCGAAAGCACTTTTCTACAAATTTTTTGCCTTTGACTGCCGCTTTTTTTTGTGTTTTGCTACGCTAAGCACCTATAAGATTTGTATTGCTAGAGAGAAACTAATTTTCTTTCTCAATAACCATTATTGTTTGTTGAAGACACTTTTCTACTATTTTTTTTCATTTCTCCTCTTCAGTTTCACCTTCGTGCTACGCTGAGTACCAATAAAGGTTTGAGGCTTTGGAGACAAACGCATGTTCTTTTGAAACAGTCATGATTATTTCTCGATGGCACTTTTGTAGTAGCTTTTTTCTTTACTTTCTGTATTATCGTCTTTGGGCTACACTAAGCAGCTTTACAGGCTTGTGTTGGTATAGAGAATATTTTTTTGTTGGTGAAATCATCATCATTTCTTCGTAGCATTTTCCTATTGGGAATTGTAGTTTTTTGACTGATTTTACATAGTTCTGCTTTGGTAAAAATATGTAGTGTTTTTCTCTGATTACATGTTTTTTAGCGGTTTCCGACGAAACTGAACAAATACGGGCTTTGGGGATAGAGAAAGTACGGAAGTAGATAGATATAGTAGACATACAAGACATACTAGACATAACGGTTACAGGAGATACAGGCGATAAAATAGATATTAGAGATACTGAAGATATAGGAGGTAAAAGAGATGTTTGAGATAGATGAGATGTATGAGATATATTAGATATATGAGATATTTGAGGTTGATGAGATGTTCGAGATAGATGAGATACCTGAGATAGATGAGATAGATGAGATATGTGAGATATATGAGATATTTGATATATGTGTGGTATATAAGATATTTGAGATAAAAGAGATATTGTGTAGGCGCCCAAAAATGTATTACATATCGGCTTACTTTTATCTAACAGATTTGTGAGCCCTTAGCTCCCTTAGCATCCTCAGCTGCTTCCATTACGATCGCTCCTTCAGCTCTCCTATGTCCTTAGACTTCCTTCGCTATCTTAGCATCCTTGTTACCTTAGTTCCTTCACCTTCCTTGGGTGCCTTAGCACCATTGAGTGCTTGCTCTCCTTTACCTCGCATAGGTCCGTTAGCTGACTTAGGTCAGCCGGTGTACCGATGTGTGTGTCGAGAGATCCTAATCTTCAGAACCTTGAAAATCCTTTCCTGGTAGCCTCAGCTGCTGTGATAATGTGTGCATGAAGAGATGCCTATGTAGAGAAACTTAAAAGTCATTTCGCGGCACCCTCAGCTCTTGCGCTGATGTATGTATTGAGAGATATTTATTTAAAAAACCTTTAAAGTCTGTTCGTGGCACCCTCAGCTGATGCGCTGATGGGTGTGTGAAAAGATATTTATGTAGAGAAACATGAAAATCCTTTCCCGACACCCTCAGCTACTGCACTGGTGTGTGTTGGGGGAGATCTGTTAACATAGAGAATCTTGAAAGTCCTTTCGCAGCATCCTCAGCTGGTGCGCTGATGTGTCCGTGGAGAAATATTTATCTAGAGACCCCTGAAAATCCTTTCGCGGCACCCTCAGCTGGCGCATTTATGTGTCCGTGGAGAGATAATTATGTTGAGAGTCTTGAAAGTCGGTTCGTGGCATCCTGACGCAGATTCTTGGGTATAAACCGATTAAGTAATCGATGCTGATGCTTTCATTGAAGCTATTTTATGAGTGGCGTATCCAGGTTGCTGCGCAAAGGGTTCTCTAAATATTTTCACGGAAAGATGCGCTGTAGCTGTAGTGGTTTTCGCATGTGAGTGCAGAAGACGGTGAAGATTTCCCTTATGCTGCCCAATAGGAGACCCATGTTGCAATACTCAATCGAGAGAAGTTCTTATTTAATGTTCTGGGCTTAGGCATCATTAGTTAACTTCACATCGCCAGAGGGAAATTCTGAAAGATATCCCATTGAATTTTCATAACGAAAATAGCTATTAGTTTGCTTTACATATAGCTATTATTTTCCTGTTTTCACTCTCGTTTTTTTGTCTTTTGGGGACTTTCATTACCATCTGTCGTGAACGTCTCCTATTTGCGGGTACTTTTCGTTATTTTATCATCGATTTTTTGTCCTGATTAAATACACACACAAATAATATTACTATAATTGTATGTATGTTTACATGAGTTCCTGCGCATATCTATTAGACATGAACTTGGCATTGCGTCGGCTATGAGAATCTTATGCATTGTTTGTCTTTGTGTACTTAACATGATTCGGAAAAACTTTTATATATACAATATGTTTGTCTCTTGTATCTCTGTGTCTTTTATACCTAAAATACCTAAGATATCTAAAATATCTCCTATATCTCATCTATCTTATCAATCTCAAATATCTGCTATGTCTCAAATACCTCATATATCTCGTATATCTCCTTTATCTCAAATACCTGATATGTATCATATATTTCAAATACCTCATATATCTAGCTTATCTAGTGTAACCAATACATCTACTACATCCAGTATGTCTAGTATATTGTGTATATGTCCTATGTATAGTATATCTAGTATATGGAGCTATTCTCTATGTCCTCTAAGTGACTGTTTTTTGTAGTTTCCTCGGAAATTCATAGAAGACATTATATGTTTTCTTTTAGGCAGCACAAAAAGTTTCTTTTTTCTGGTAGGACTCTTGCTACGTTTTCATCGAACTTTTCGTGTAGTTTTTTTTGTTTTTTCGATTTCCTGTCTTTTTAGTGGTGGCTAATGGTGTTACTTAGTAATGAGCGTAGTTCGCTTTGGTGTAAGGCGATTTCACTACCTTAAGTGTGTTCTAGTGTGTGGTTGACTTTGGACTCAGCCGCATTTTCCACTGAGTTTTATTGTTTATGGGATGGATGAAAAGTTTGTGGAATAGGCTTTCATTTATATTCTTGTCATAGTTTCTAGTGAAATTATTTCTGTTGCAGTTAGTGTTTGCTTGTCTTTACATAAGGTTACAATTTAAAGCGAGATATTCAATGTATAAAACAAAACTCTGTTTTTTATGGAAACTAAAATACTTTAGCATTAGAATTTCATTCTTTAGTGGCTATTTATATCAAAGATGATGGGAGTTATTTGGGCTCTTCAAATACATATAGGGATCAAACTTAGATTATATATTTTTGTACATAGTTAACATAAATCCTATTGTGTGTAATTCAAAACCTCGTGCTTAAATTTACGAGAATCTTCCTTGGAGACATATTTCATGCACACTTAAAAACTCGTTTTCAGATGTGTCCACGTTCCAGTAATAGCTAGACCAGAGCTATTAGACAAACACTTTCACAGAATGGTAAAACTTGATGCCACATTTAACAAACTTAAAAGAGACATTGTAGAAATAGAAGACTGAATGAATTAAGTATTTTCAGAAAATCTTCTTCTAGGTATGCGTTTAAGGAGAAATGCTATAAATATACCTACTGTGGAGACGATAAATGTTAAACATCAATATATATCACAGTATTCAGAACATTTTTTCTTATAGTTCTGTATAGATCAGTGAAGTCGGAGAAATTCGAAAAGTCCGGCCTCTCCTAGAGAAATAACATCCGTTAAGCGATCATTCGGAAATTTATGAGAAAACGCGTAAACAAACTATCTCACAAGTGTAAGAGCAGGAGAAATAATGAACAAGTTAGAAAAAATGATCAAACGCAGGCATAGACACAGTCACATCTCGTAATATTAGTTGAATTCGATTAGATGTATCATATCCTAAAAATAGTAGATATGTTACCTACGTAGGAATACACCCGAATGCGTGGTACCTCTCTTTTATTAATCCTTTTGGTTTTAGTAACTTTGAAAAAAATAACAACATTCACAAAGTGATCAAGATATTCAAGTAGCAGAAATGGAAAATAGCAGGATGCGGTGAGTCTTGACTTTTCTTCGAACGCTTAATCTCTACAAATCGCAGTCAAATGATGCTGAGGTAGAACGTCGTGAACGACTATCTAGTAGAGTGTTTCTCTGTCTTTTATTTGTGTTCATGGTATTTGGTATTACCTATGCCGTGTCTTCATCGCGTGTAGTCAATATTACGATGCGCAATCCAACTGCAGACAAATTCAAGAAGCTTTATGATCAATATCCAAATACACTTAAATGTCCTTGTTCATCGCTTACTGTACAGTACAGTGAATTCGCGAATTTTCAAGTCACTTTTCATGAAGTATGTCAAAG